GGGAAACTGTTGTTGAACGAGCTTTGGGAAGGCTACAGAGGATGTTTTTGGGGTAGCAAATACCAACTTGTTTCGCTTCCTGTGAAGATTTCACAACAGCAGGGACTGAGGTTCACATCAACAGTTAAAATGAGAGGCAGTGGTGGGAGATTGTGCCAGGCAGAGTGCGTCAGGAGAGTCACGCTGTCGGCAGGGCTGCCTGGGCACGGGGACAATTTTCCAGTGGTGGAGCAGTTTTTGGGAGGGGAATCCAAGACTGGTACGGCGCTGGGTCACTGGGGAGGTCAGCATTTATTTACAGGGACATTGGCAGGCCACAGTCATAAGCCAGGCTCCTGTGGGTTAGGTGCTGTTCAAAAAGCGTAATAGGAAAGAATTCCCTTGCAGTTTCTTCTCTTTCTTTGCTTTTTTCGGCTCTGTGTGAAGCAGAACCTTGACATTGTTCTGAATAGGCCAGGTTGGACTAACACCATTCTTCTCTCCGCCTTTCTAGATATCAAAATGACTTCCATGCTGACCCACGCCATCAGGAACCTCCCTGCTTCCTCAGCATGGGCTGCCAGGGGCTGTAAGTATCTTTGCATTCGTGAAAAACTGGAGTTGAGAGGTCGTAAAGTTCTGGTTGAAGTGTTGGATTTGGAGCGGATGCTTGTGTCTGCATCTCTGTTCTGTTGCCATCTTAAAATAGTGGAATTACTTACTTGAAAAAGGTAACGGTGTTTTGTTTTTAAAAGAACTAATCCTATTGTGGACGTATTTGTGCCTGCTGCACATCTGATGTGGGAAGAATCCCACGTTAACTGGTAACGTGAGCTACGTTGTTTTTATGAACAGAGTAAACTGAAAAAAAACCACCTCACAGATGTTCAGTTGTCTTCCTACGACATTGTCTTGTCCTTTTAACATTTCTTAGAGAAACCAGAGATGTTTTTAGCATTCAAGAGCTGACACATCCTTTCTTTTAATTTCCTGTTTTTCAGTCGCTCGATCACTCAGCTGCTCCCCGCAGTTACAAGTCGCAGGTAAAGTGAAAACACCGTGGTTCTGGGCTAGAAAAGATTTAATCACAGAATCCCAGAATATCAGGAGTGGGAAGGGACCTGGAAAGCTCCCGCAGAGCAGGATCACCAGAGCAGTCACACAGGAACACGGCCAGGGCTTTGGGTGTCTCCACACAAGGACACTCCACAACCTCTCTGGGCAGCCTGGGCCATGCTCCAGAACCCTCACACTCACAAACTTTGGCCTCAGCTTCAGCTTGAACCTCCTGTGCTCCAGCTTGGGACCATTGCCCCTTGTCCTGGCACTGGACATCCCAGAGCAGAGCCTGGCTCCTTCCTCCTGACACTGCCCTTTCCAAATGGATCCCCAGGAATGAGGGCACCCCTCAGTCTCCTCTGCTCCAAGCTTCAGAGCCCCAGCTCCCTCAGCCGCTCCTCAGCAGGAGATGCTCCACTCAAAATTAATTTTGAAACCAACTCCTTTTTCCAAAGCCTCATTTGATATAAACCTCAGAAGTGCAATGCAGTGTCCCTCTGACGTTACAAATGAGTTAAACTGTGGCACATCGCTGTTTGCAGCAAAGTCCTCTCACCTCTGACTGCTCCTCGCTCCCCGTGGCCGTGCCAGAGCTCGTGCCCCATCGTCACCTGATTTATTGCTATTTCTGGAATCTAAATGGAGAGGCTAAACTCAGGGTTTTTAAACTGTCTGGGCATAACCAGATCACTTGCCCAGAGGGGAATGGGTTGTCCCTGACCAGGAGGAGCTTGTGGGATGAGCTCTGAAGTCCACTGAGACCAGTAAAAGGCTCAGGTCTTGCGTGTGCTCAGCAGCTCCACCAGTTATGGGGTTGTTTGCCGTGGCTCTTAGTGAGCAGTTGGGGCGATCCAGTGTTCTGGGGTTCACTGAGGGCATTGCTGAGGTGACTGTGATGCTTTGAGCTGCCTGGATTTTTGGAAATTGGCCGAGACAGCTGCTCCCCCACATCTCCTCAGCTTTGTGCAGAGAGCCGTCTAGAACCCAAAATGATGGTGGAGTTTCATCCTGGTGCTTGCAATTCCTTGAGCACAGCGTTTCGCTGGACTTAATGTGCTTTCTATGGGTTTTTGTCCTTATCCTGCTTGTAAAAGGAGCTGCCCTGTCCTGCTGTGTATACTCATTAAGATTTGAAGGCCTGATTACATTAGGAAATGTTAAATGAGTGAAAGTTACCTGAATTCTGGAGCTATATTTGGTTTTTCCTTGAATTATCTCACCGTTCCTGTGCAGAAAGAGCACGTTTACAGGCAGTTCATGTGGAAGGGGGATTGCTGTTTGCAGTCCTTGCTGCTCCCCAGGTGAGATCTCTTCCTCCAGCTTTGAATTTGTCTGCCTCGTTCATATCCCAAGCCATGCAGCAGCTTTAGAGGTCTCTCCTCCTGCAGCGTTCTTGTCAGCAGCGATGGAGACAGGGAGTTATGTGCCTTTTATTTCCAGCTGTGCTGTTGTCTCAGTGTAGCTGTAGATGAATCTGCTGGTGGGGGAAGTACTGAGTTGTTAAATCATTTCTCACAGATCACATAATCGATCAGACAGAGACAAGATTACAGCCCAGGTGCCCTTCCTGTCTGCTCTGGACTTACAGCTCACCAAAAGAGAACCATTTCTAGGTTTGCTAGGAGTTTCAACAGGATATTACTTTAAACTTGCTGGCATTCTTCTTACTTGTCACTTCTCTCTTCGCAGTCCAGCCCAAGAGCAAGAAGACCTTAGCCAAAAGCGGCGTGAAGAATATCGTCGTGGTCGAGGGCGTCCGTATCCCATTTTTGCAGTCTGGCACCTCGTAAGTATCAGAAGAAAATATGTGCTAACTTGCTTAATAGTGGAATCTTTCTGTGGGGGGGGAAAAATGGTTTACTTGCTCATTTTAATGCAGTTATGTCTGAAAGTATTGAAGTGGCAGTGAGGCTGCTCCAGTTATTCCAGCTTGCCTTATGACAAAGCATGGTTTGAAGAGGATTTATGCTGCATGTTTACAGGAAGCTGCTGGTGAATCTATGGCAGATAAAGCCAAGAGTTTCACAAAACCAGCAGGGCAGGTGCAGAGAATCTGCTGTAGATCCTTGCTACGCTGTTCTGCCAGCAATTTCACTCCTCAATTGAGACCAGACCTAAATTTTCCGATGATTAGGGGATTTCTTTACTCTGTTACTGCTGCTTTTCAGTCTTTTTAGTACAAGAATTGTGTGCTGGCCTAGATCACAGATAGTCTTCACAACCTGGGGTATGAAATGTTTGATTATGAACACAGTGGAGCATTTCTGATGTGCCACCAGCTCTGTCACGTGTGCTTCCAGTGGTGGAGCAGACATCTGTATCGATTTCTGATACCCCTGATTTTCTGCCTCTTTTCTTTTAACTTCCAGGTATGCGGATCTTATGCCACATGACTTAGCAAGAGCAGCGCTGCAGTAAGTCAATTGAATGCTAGGAGCACCCAGAAAGCTCTCTGTCATTGAACTCCTGGGGTCCCAGTGTTGTCACAGTGGCTTCAGCAGATTTGAAAGCCAAGGCTTTAGCTTTGTGTCTGAACGATACCATCCAGCTGCTTCGTTTTTCGTGGTCTTTGTAGGTGAAAAAGCCGTGGGTCATTTTATCAGGTTTACTTTGTTGAGAAGCAGAGCAAAGTGCTGTTGAAAAGAGGAGGCTTTACCAAGGGGGAAAGGAGATTGCAAGGCCGAAAGAGAGATTGTGGGGTTGGGTGCCATCGTGCCAAATCTGAATGCCATGTTTAGCCAAGATGGGCTGATTTTGTTGACGTGCAATGTGTCAGTTGTGTTTGAGGGCTGTGTCCTGGACACTATGGGGGTTTAGTGTGCTGCTGGAGGGAGTTATGGGTTGGGGTGCCTTTAGTTTCATTTTTATTTGGCACTTTGTAGTGCACATAAATACATTCGGCCTTAAATTGCTGCCTGCAGTGGGGTTTGCTGTGTTGGCGTGTTTGTCAAGATGTTCTGGCAAATTACACGACGTGTTTTCTGATGAACTGTGAAAATGCACTCCTCATTTCCCACGTGTCTTTATTGAAGTTTAACACGTTCCCACACCAAAGGTGATTGGCTTTGTTACCTCTTAAGGCCTTTTTCTTTAATTTTGATGTCAGAATACTCCAAATTGGGGAAGATACTAACAATCATTTAGGGGAGGGAGGGGGTTTAGTGTAGTTGCTTTCATAAGACTAAGTAATAGCTTACAGTGATGATATGGCCATGATTATTTGCAGCCCACAGTCAAGGACAGTTTTCATTTCACACAAGTTTTCTTATAAACAAAGGGCAGAAGACGTGGCACTGTTGCCACCTTGTTCTCCAGCCAAGCAGGTGGGAAGAGGATGTTTGAGGACTGTGACAAGGTTATTGCTTACGTGGTGCCGATTCTCTTTGTTTGATCTTCTCCTTAGGGGGTTGCTGAACCGGACCAGTGTCCCCCGGGATGTTGTTGATTACATTGTTTACGGCACAGTCATCCAGGAGGTGAAGACGAGCAATGTTGCCAGAGAGGTGGGTTACGTGCAGCATTTCACCAGCAAATCTGGTTTCTGCAGGTGGTGTGAAGGTGACAAACCCTTGTAAAAGGAATTTCCAGTGATAGGGTTCATTTAAATGTGATTTGGGAGTACGGACTAGTTGTCTGTCAAATAACTTCATGGGACTCTGCCTCTGGTTGAAATCTGCTGTAGATCAAGTGCATGTTCATGCTGAGAAGCCTCTGATTGATTCTTCCTTGAAAAGGGAAGCTTTAGTTAATGATCACTGATCACTCAGCTCTAATTACCAGTTGGACTCAGATGTTGGCTTGTCCAAAGTACTTGAGAGGACCAGAGCACGCTGTGATAGATGGCTTTGCTGTGGTGTTTATTTATTTTAGTTGGCTGATCAAATCCAGCTTTTGTACCGTTTGAGATGAAGTAGCTTTGCTGCCCTTTTTTGTAGCAGTCAGAAAACACAATTTGCTTATTCTACACAGAAAGAAGCTGGTGCCCTGACCAGCAGCATGTGATTTTTCTATAATCTGAAGCTTTTGCTGTTATCCTCAGCAACCAGGCAAAACCATGACGTAACCTGGGCTGGAAAACTTAGGAGGTTATGAGGCTTTACAGTCCTGTCAGTGGTTTTAGCCTTGTATATGCAAATACTTGCTTTGGTCACCTGCCAGTCAGCTGAGGCCGTGGTGTAATTTTAACTCGGGAACAACTGTTGAACTTTCAACTACTTGGCCACGTCTCAACTAGGGAAGGTCTTGCTGTGAGTAGTTCTCCCGTGATGAGAGGCTGTGCTCTCAGCTGGGTCAGATGAGACGCCGCTTTCTGCAACTGCAGGAAAGGTTTTCTCTTCTGTGGGAAGCAAATCACGGTGCCTCTTACTGAGGGGTCGAAATAATTCCTTTTGTGGGTTGCTTTTGCAAAAAAAAGGTGAAGCAAAGATGATGTCAAGTATAGAATTGTTAAGGTTGGAAGAGATCTTTAAGATCAACCCAAAAGCACCATGCCCAAGTAGTCAGAAGCTCTTTTGAAATTCAGGTGTGTGATTAATTTGCCCCATTATTAATGGGGGGGGCATTAACTGACCACATAACGCGACTGAGAGCCCTGGCAGCTGCCCTCTCCTCCTGTTCCTGGAGTCTGTGGGCAGGGGAAGAGCTGCTGAATTTGCCTGAATGAAAACTTGATGTTCTTGTTCTCTACAAAGGCGTGTTGCTGGGCAGGAGGTAGCTCTGACCCCGTGGAGCAAAAATGTAGATTTTAACAGTCATTCTTTGTTGCTCATAGGCTGCCTTGGGAGCGGGTTTCTCTGACAAAACTCCAGCCCACACAGTCACCATGGCTTGCATTTCTTCGAACCAGGCTATGACCACAGGTATGTTGGCTGGAGAACAAGCTGTGGGTTTGAGAAGGAGCTTAGCAGCTCCTTTCCTTCCCTCATTCGACTGGCACTGCTTAGTGAATATAAGTGAGCATCTGAAGAAATGCTGGAAGGGAAGGAAAGTTTTCAAACCAACAAAATAGTGAATCACAGGATGGTTTGTATTCACAGAATCCCAGAATGTTCGGGATTGGAAGGGACCTCAAAAGCTCATCCAGTCCAATCCCCCTGCCGGAGCAGGAACACCCAGATGAGGTTACACAGGAAGGCGTCCAGGCGGGTTTTGAATGTCTGCAGAGAAGGAGACTCCACAACCTCTCTGGGCAGCCTGGGCCAGGGCTCTGTCACCCTCACTGAGAAGAAGTTTCTTCTCCAATTGAAGTGGAACCTCCTGTGTTCCAGTTTGTGTCCGTTACCCCTTGTCCTATCATTGTTTGTCACCGAGAAGAGCCTGGCTCCATCCTCGTGACACTCACCCTTGAAATATTTATAACCATGAATGAGGTCTCCCCTCAGTCTCCTCTTCTGCAAACTAAAGAGCCCCAGCTCCCTCAGCCGCTCCTCAGAAGGGAGATGCTCCACTCCCTCCATCATCTTTGTAGCCCTACGCTGGACTCTCTCCAGGAGTTCCCTGTCCTTCTTGAACTGAGGGGCCCAGAACTGGAAGGTTCTGGGTTGGAAGGAAGGAACTGGTTGGAAGGAACCTTAAAAATCATCTGGTCCAACCCCCTGCCCTGAGCAGAGACACCTCCCACCAGCCCAGACTGCTCAAAATACATTCACAGAGAAAATAGAGAATTCAGATGTAATGTGAATGGAGCATCTGCTGTAGACCCACCAGCAGCTGGATGCTCTTTGCATTCAGTGATGGTCTCTGTGCAACGTCCGTGTTAGCCTGGGAGGTAAAGGCTACGTCATGGTAAAGAAGTTGCCACCTTTTAGGCTGTGTTCATCTTGGACTTGGCCTAAACAGAGTAAAACAAATAAGTCCTGGTTACTGTTCTGAACCACAGGGGAATATTCTTCTCCCAGCTGCTCCCGGGAGAAGTGGAAGCAATATTGCAAAACGAGGATGATTCAGAAAACGTCTGTTCAACCTGCTCGGTCTCTGTTGTGTAACTTGGCCAAAGCCAGAGGCTGGAGGAGGAGATAAAACGTAGCAATGTCCTAGGGATGAATGGGGTAAATGTAACTTGAATGGGAAACTCTGTCTCGTCCTGCAGGCGTGGGCATGATCGCGGCCGGGCAATGCGACGTCGTCGTGGCCGGGGGCGTGGAGCTGATGTCGGACGTTCCCATTCGGCACAGCAGGAAGATGAGGAAGACAATGCTCACTCTTAACCGAGCCAAAACCTTGGGCCAGAAGCTTTCCCTCATTTCCAAAATTCGGCCTGACTACTTTGCTCCCGAGGTAACTGTTTTCCAGGCATTTAGATATGAAAGCTCTTCAGCTCAACTAAAGAGGTGTAAAACAAGTTGGCTTAGGTGATTTATGTAGCCTCAATGGAGAGGATTTGAAAAGGGAGAGCTGGCTGCCTGTGATTTGCCTTTATCAGATCCCTGTCCCATGCTTTTGGTTGAAACTGCAGTTGAATGCATCTCGTAGCATTCCTCACTCTGTTTTGTTGCATATTGGTCTGCAGTAAACCTAAATGATTTCAAAGCCTCGTTCTGCAACTCCTGGACAAACTGTGCTGGAGGCTACAAAGTAGAAGCTTTTTTCCTCAATATAAAACTACAAGGCTCCTCAAGAGTCAGAATTCTTGTTTCTTAAATAATAGAAGTAACATACTTAATGTCAGAGAGGAGCATCCTCAGTATATTCATATACTGAGGCTGAACCGATGGGCTGAGACCAATGGG